TCTGGGTAACCTTCAATATATGTTTTGGAATGAGTCTGGGGGGTGAGGGCTGACATCTTGCCAGCACCGTGTTCTCTAACGATTGCTGTTTGACATTTCTCCACAGGTTCTCCTTTTCTTCCTAAGGCAGGCATTCTGATGGGCTCCAGATCAGAGCTGCTGCTCTGGGAGGGACCTGCAGCCCCCCCCCAGGTTCCCCAAATTGTGCATTTCTCCTGCTTGCCCACTGGGACAGCACTGCTGTTTTATGTGGCATTCTCCACATGACTCTTTTGTTACAGAATGAATTCATAAGTGGCAGCGCTGTCCCCCAAAACACAGAACCCTACCATCCCACAGTTAAGACTTTAGGATGCTCTGGCCCATCCTTCCTCCTCCTTCCACCTCCCTCTGCAGTACTCAGGCATCCTTCCCTGGGATTTCAAGCTTAATGCACCATTCATCACACCTTCACCTCACCTCTCCATGCTCTGTCCTGTGCAGGCTGCTCCCAAACCAGAGCAGGGATCTGGAGCACACAAAGAGTCTTACAACAGGAAGGGATCTGCAGTGTAGCAAGCAGCTAACGAATGCTACAGCAGTAAAAGCCCAAGTTCTCGATAGAAATGACTTACAGCATTAAGTTGTGCCCACAGCCTGAGAAATGGAAGGCACCTGCAGCCAGCTACATTGTCCCACACTCAGAGCAAAATGGGCATTTCTTTGACTTTTATTTCTACACTTAAGACAGCAATAAAGAAGAGAAGAGTGAATACAAGGCCTCCCCAAGAGGCTAAGCACAGCAATTCACTGTGCCGCCAAACTGGAGCTCAACACAACATGGCAGCTGCTGCCACAGCCAGCAATGCCAGCTCTGCACACAAAGAGGCAGCAGCTCCTGCGGCTGCACAGCTGCCTCCATCCCCATCTCCATCCCACTCAGCATCTCGGGAGGTGGACAAGAAATTAGGCACATTTATTTCTCACCGTGATGGGCAATAAAACAACCAACAGGCTCTAACAAAGCCTGCATCTTCCTGGAACTCCCAGCCCCACTTCTCACGTGTGAGCGTCTCCGCAGGGATGTTAAGAACTGATGACCTGTGCCCAGCCAGGATGCCAGTTCCCACCAGCCCTGCTGCCATCAGCCATCTCTCACGAGGAGGCTTTTGGCAGGAGGCAGGAGGCTGCAGTTGCACCGCGTGCCCTCACCACAAGGCACGTGCCAGCATTCACCAAGCAGCGTGGCACTAACTGGGACCTCAGCACGAGGGACGCTGGTGCTGTCACCACCTTGCCCTGGGTAATGAGGGCTTTAATCTCCAGTTTGGCAACCCAGCACCTTGCCAGAGCAAGGACTCGTGTTTATCAAACCCAGCCTGGCAGCAGGGAGGGAGAACATCTGGCACAGCCTCCCTCTTCCCATCAGACGTGCTCACCATTTTTTGTGGTTTCAACAGCTCTGCAGCTCCAGTCCTTATAATTACAATGAAAAACCTCACAGTCAACCACGGCACCTTGCAGCCAAGATATCAATGTGTTTCCAAATAAAAGCTTCATGGCAAAAATCCTACATTTTTGTGGCGTCTCTGCTTTATTCCCATCCTCCTTAGCACCATTGTATTCACATGGTCTTCAATTATTTACAAGCACACAAAACACTCCAGCCCACTTTCTCCACTAGTATGAATCAGTGAGGTGCCAAACTAAATCAACAGAGTTACAAAGATTTGCTGTGGAGAAGAATCTGGCCTGCTCTCTCTGAAGACTCTCCTTCCCTCCACAGTAAGCATGCAAAAGGAGAGGATAAAAACAGCTTTCTTCATTCCCTGAGTTTGCCAGCCACACGCCAGCATGCTAATGCCCACAGAGACCTGCTCCTCACTGCTGACCTACTTTCCATCCGTGTGCCTGCAACGCACTTCTTGTCTTCCCCAGCAGCCCTGCTGCTCAGAGCAGCCATCCCTGCTGTGCCCAAAGCCCCGCAGCAGCACCGGGTGCCACCCCCATGGTCAGGTCCCTGGGTCCTAAGGTAACAGCCACTGGCTTCAGCAACGGAGGAGGCCCCTGGTTACTCAGCCAGCCCTTGGAATTGATACGGCAGCATCTCCAGTCTGTTTCCATCAAGGCTTTCCTCTTTGTTTTCATTTGACAGCAGTTGCAGACAGCACGGCCTCCTCCTGCCACAGCCCATCCAGTGCAGCTTGCCACCGCCCGCCATTTTGATTCACCTTGGCCAACAGGATCCCCACTGCACGGATCACAAATCAAAGCCCAATGCAGTGCAATGGGTGTGGGGTGCTCCTCTAAAGCTGTAGGACAATCCTCAGTCAACCAGTACCTTTTCAGGACTTATTAATGTCCTGAAATGTCCCCACAGACATGATAGCAATCTGAACTTTCCACAAGAGCAGTACGAGAAACCTTTCAGAGACTTTCCAGGGCTTCATGATCACACCAAATGCTGAACCTGACTTTTGAAAGTCATTTTGTTATTTGCACCTTCACTTAGAATCCAAAGGTAAAGCAGCTCATGAAAACATAATGTGTGTGAAAAGAACAGGTTTGTTCTCTGGAGAGCCTCTTCATACACAGGCTGGGAACCACGTGTGAAACCCAGGGCTGCCGGGCATCTCATTAAAAGACAGAGCTTCCACTTATGTCTGTTACCATCAGCAGTTCACAAACTGGGGCCATTCTGCTCAGCACCAGAAGGTTGGGGAAGTGCAGGAGAGAGATGACGAGCTGGGCTTCACTGCACCAAACCAGCTTACTCATCCTCATGTACCACCCCAGCAAGGAGATGTCACAAGGCCTCCATCATGACTGGAATCATAATATCCATGATTCACATGGAAGACTTTTTTTATACAAAGCACTGAGATAAAAATAAAAGGATGGGGAAAATCTGAAGAAACTTGTTTCATTCCCTACAAGATGGATAAACCGAGATGAATGTAAACAGCTCAACTTGACCCAAATATTTTTTTCGTTGCTGAGTAACCCTGCAAAAATGTTGTTATCTTGGTAGCATCTGTGGAGATTAGGTGGAAGAGAATTTTAAACAAACATTCAACTGTCTGTTGTTTGAGGAATTTCGGCCTGGCCACAGGCTCTCCAGACTGCTGCTTTTCCAACACCCTTGACGCCTTTCAGAAGAGAACAAACAAATTAAGGGAGCAGGAAGCATCCCTAACATTCCCAGCACATTAACATGCTGCTGACACAAAGGTTTACATGAAACATTTGGTTTTAGAGCTTTCCAAATTCTTCTGCACCCTAAGAGAAAGATGGGATGGCTCTGCAGGAAATACATGCTCGGGCCATGGCTGCTGCAGGGGGTGGGAGGAGGGGTAGTCACAGCAGATGGCTCTGAGCCATTTTGGGTGGCAGTAGGCACCACCGAGGGCTTAGACTTACAGCCCACACCGGCTGCCATATGGTGTGGCAGTGGCTCAGCATCACGCAGGACCCAATTTATAGCATCCTCGAGGGCTGTGAGTACCACGCTACCCTCTTACTGCTCTCCATTAGTACAATCACTTGTTTTCCAAGCATCTTCCAGCACCACGCTGCTATAATTATCGATTCTTTTTTCTTCAGGTTGCAGAAAGGTGGAGGGAGATCTGATAGATCAGATGAGAGAGTCAAGCGTGAGGTTTTAGTCTCTTCATGCTCCAGAGGTCAGGCAGGCCTGCCACTCCTTCCTTCCCTCCCTCCCAGCAGATAGCACTATCTCAACCACACAGATGCCTTCAGAGATCTCCTTGGACCCTGTTAAGCTGTGCAGCACTTATGCTGTGTGCATGTCCCAGAGCTGGAAACACACAGCAAGCAAGGCATGGCCTGTGACACAGGGAGCAGGAGGGGTGGGATGACCACAGCTCAGAGAACAGCAGCCCTTCCAGCAACCTCAAACCCAGCTGAAATTCTCCTGGAGTAACCAAGAGAAATGAGAGCAAGGAGGAAAGTCCTGGAGGGCGTGGGATGGACATGGCAGCATCACCGTGCTACCATATGTGCCTGTTACACTGCAGCCACAGCACAATTCCAGTGCTGTGGTGTGATGGCAGGGGATACTGCAGCCATAAGATAGAGCAGTGGGTCCAGTCAAGAGCAGGGCAAAGTGCAGGAAGTTCGGGGTAAGAGACAGGTCTGGCAGAATGATCTTTTGCAGCTCTGGCGCATTCAAAGGTGGATGCGTAGTTCTCAGCTGCTACAGCAACCCTCTCCTCTGCACACAAATGCTGCTTGCTCTGGCTGCTGCATACCTTCCCCTCTATGCTCCTGCCCCACTGTGACCAGTTTGGACAGACAGAAGATCCCAATTCCCTCTGCTCTAGGAGTAGTAGGAACAAAGGTATCGCACAGTGAATCCCTCCAAGCTGGGGTGGTTTTTCAGAGTGCTCTGCTTCACTGAGACACAGAAAGAAGGGAGCACGTGGGTAAGGGATACAGTCCGACAGCACTGTGACCCAACAGCCACCAGAGATGGGGATACTGGAAACTTTCTCTCAAGCCAAGCACAAAGGTCCTTCTGTGCTGGAACAGGGGAGGCTCTCAACTCCGACAGCACATTTTGTGAAACTCTGCAGCTCAAAGCATTGTCTCAGTCACACACAACTTCATGGGCTGGGCCTTTTGCCTCGAAAGAGCAACGCAGCTGCCTGAGGGTAGCTTGCGCTCAGCTGCTGGAAGGAGCAGGTTGCCCTAAACCACTGACTGAACTCCCAGCTGGGCTCAGCTACCCAACTAAGTACAAAATGCCATTTTCTCTTAGGGGGTCCTTAAAATATCAGCTCGGTGCCAGCACTACAGCTCCTACCAGGGCTCTGAGTGAGGACAGTCATCCACATCTGTGCTAGGCAACTGCAGCTGCATTTCTTGACTTTATGGAGAAACTGGAGTATTTTTAACATACTGAAAGAAACGGCCATTCAGCATCAGTTATTCAAACTCAGTACAGAGGCTGTGCATTCTAACCACTCCCATTGCATGTACAGCATCCATTAATGTCCTACCTCTCCTTCCATGGCAGCTTCTAGTCCTGGCCTGCTTTGCTTCCCAGCTCACAGCAGTTGTATTTTAATCCTTCAGTGATGCATCTCCTCAACATGCCCAACAGCCACAGCCAGGGAGCTTCCTGGAGGAAGTAATTACAGAAATTGAGCTCACCCAAGCAATTGAAAAAGCTGGTATCTCAGAGCTCCAATTTTTCTCTCTGCTACACTCGGGACCTGCATCAGACTGAAATGCACCACTGGCAACAGTCTTTGCTCTTCTCCACTTGCTGCTTGAATTTTCACCAGTGTTGACAGCTCTACAGTGCTGATCCAGAAGCTCCAGTTCACCAAGGATCGACCAGTTCCATAATGAAGCTGTAATGGTTACACCAGTGTAGTGCTGAGCCTAGGAGTGTTTGACCCCGCAGCAGTATTTCCAGCCCTGGGACACAGAGGCTTCTGTCTGATCGCAGCCTGCTAAAAGGCTTTGCCTTCTCTTGCCTTACCTGGCAGCCAACACATCACAGCCAACTCCATAATCCCCCCAAGCAAAGCACGTCTCAGCAGTAACTTAATCTGAAGTTGAACTGCAGCTCTCACAGCTAGCTCGAATGAAAATGAAAAGCAACTGATAAAGGAAAATCTACAAAGTGAAGTAGGTGGCGAGGGGACCAGAGGCAGAGCATGCAACTGGAAAGAGCAATGCCACAGCAGATCCAGCAGTGCAAACATTAATTGCTTTTTAATTATTCCGGTGCTTTTCTTCCGCAGTAGTTGGTAATTACAGGAATCCTGCCTGCCCTCCGGTGGCTAAGGAGGAGAGGAAAACCAAGAGAGTGTCAGCAGAGCAGGGCCAGGAACTGAGCCTTCTTTTACCCTTCAGTGGACAGCAGGAAGCTTCAGAGTTTCCAGCTGATGCAATTGCAGGATTTGTTTCTGATTAGAGATCTGGGTAGGAAAGCGCACACCCTGTTCAGCCCCAGGCTTGGTTATATTTCTGAGTCTCTAAAGAACAGAATCGCCTTCCTCCTGCCCTGCTGCCCACCACACCCCAGCTTCAGCCACTTCCAGCTCTGGGAAAAGGGCCAGCCTGCTTCTCAGCACATCATCTGCTATCAAAAACCCTTACAACAAAGGTGGTTGTGCACACCTCTGGGCTGTTTGGAAACATGAAGAGCCCAGGTTGGGCACGCACAGCCTGATGAGCATGGCAGCTCTGATGCTGGGTGTCTGGCTGCACAGCCACCACCAGGTATCACTCACCAGTGCTATCTGACGGTACTCCCATGCCCCCCAGCCTCTCCTTGCAATAGCTTGGAGCCAGCATAGGCAGCAGGTGAAACACTCAGACCTTCAGCAGATCTCCTACATGGAAATCCCACCTAGAACTGTGTGAGAACTGACAGATGCATGTTGTGAACAGGCAGATAAGCTGTTGAGAAAGACCTGTGCTTAACTTTCTGGTTCGGATATCTTCTCTTCCATCCACTCCTGATTCCACTCAGACACTTTAGAAACAAATATTCAAAGATATCACGATCAAAGTGAGGAGGAGGGCAAGAGCACAAGAGTTCCATTAATGGGAAATCAGAATTCAGCTATACTCCTTACATAAGACAAAGGTGAGATAAAAGCTCAGCAAGGAAAGCAACATGGGATCACAAGAGCATTGACTTCCTAAACATCTGTAAGGACAAAACACGTTCATGGTTTCCATAAAAGAAAGGGCACCAATTCAGCAGTTTTCTTCTGATAGGTTGATGGGAATTTGAAGCAGCCTCCCCATATCTCCAGTTATTTCCAGATGTTAAAGGTCCCAGGACAGCTTCTGCTCTTTCCCAGCTCAAATACAACCACTCAGACACCTGCCTGAGGAGCAGCCTGCTCTCAGTACAGCAGAACACCCTGTAGCAGGAAGGGAGTAGGACAAGTAGCCAGCAGACCTGAGCATGGTTTGCTGTACAAGGAGAGAAGGCTTCCATCTGCACAGCAATCCCACTGGGGCAGCTCAGTGCTGGCACGGGCATGTTAGCAGCCCTAAGATTTCAGACTCAATTACTGAGAATGCAAAAGAGGTCTAACAACTGAGATACCAGAGCCTCCTTAGGTGCTCGTAACCCAAAGACCATAAAGAACATTTTTCATCATCCCCGTTGCTCAGGAAGCTCTAAAAAAGAAACAGCCACTAAGGAGCTTGTGACAGTGACTGTGTCCACCAGCAAGTCAGAGCAGCTCTGTTCACACACAACAGCATGATGTGCCTTTTTCAGGATGGGGTAACCTCCCTCCTCTCATTTTCCCTAAGGCAGGAGGCAACTGCCCAAGCATCAAACCCTCCTGGCCTCAAGGCCCCAGCCTGAGGTGTGAGGAGAGTTCCCTCTGCCCCAGCTTTGGAGTCTGCATGCTGCACTACTAGCCAGGTGCTGACCCTAAGACTCCTCACTGAAGATGCTAAACACTGGTGATCTCAACGCAGCCACAGGAGCCCAGTAAGCAAACAGTCTTAGCCAAGTCTCCTCCATGTTGGGGAGGAACTGGTGCTGATTCCATAAGGCTATTTTTGCTGGCATCGTTGTTACAGCGCCAGAAAGCAGCTTGTGTATTCAGTGGGAGCTCACAGGACAGAGACTGTGGAAATTGCATCTCATCCTGTCTTCCTACTCAAGCCCCTTAATGGGAGAAAAAAAGCACCAGCCTTTCTAAAACAGGAGAAAATAACTTGTGCTACAGGAGCAGAGAGAGGCTCGCCATCCACTTGCTCAACAGCCAACAGCTCTGAACAGAGGTGGGAAGATTTGGGAGCCCACAAGGAGATAGCCAGGCATGTTGTGAGCAAGGGGGGACTGAAACCCAGGCTTCCACATGGCTGGACCAAACCTTCCCATGGAAGAGCAAAAGGCAAGAGCAAAAGCAAAAAACCCTGAAGCTGCAGCAGCACTGTATCCACAACCACTGTGCTATCTGGCCACTAGGGTGTGACAAAACCATATCAAGGGTACACAGATAACCACACCATTACCATTTTGGTGCTAAGAAGCAACAAGCAATTTGGGAACCAGGAGTGAGAAAGGCTTCGGTGGCAATGGTCAACACACACCTCGTGTATCTGCAGACAGGAAGCTCGTGTTCCTTTGCACGCTGCTCTGTTCCCCAAGGAACCAACTCCAAGCCCTCCAAAAAAATCAATGAGATAACAAGGAGATGAGTTGCAGCCAATATGGATTTGTCAAGAGCAAGTCACATCAAGCCAATCTACCTTCCTCCTATAACAGGGTAACAGGCTTTCGGCACAGACAGCACTACCTGTCAAACATCTCAGCTTCAGAAAGCCTTGTGACACTGTCCTGCCTGCTGTTCCCGTAAGCTAGGGAAATATGGTCTTAAGAGAAACTGTGACAGGACAGGTATGAAACTGCTCAGATAACCACGTGAAGGGGGCAGGCATCAGCAGCCTCGTCTGCCACAAAGGAAGGACTTGCTGATTTAAGGATTTTGCAGGGGTCTGTCATATCTCTGCTCTGTTGAAGGCTTTTGCTACTGACCTGGATGATGGAGCAAAACCCAAACTTATTAAATGTGCAAGCGACATGAAGGTGGGAAGAAGTTCAGGTACTTTCAGAAGACAGGATTAGACTGATGACATTTTGGTAGCTTGAGACAGCCTGAACTTCATCCTCTCTTCAGGCAGATACAGGGCCATGATTTTTCTTTTTTTTTCTCAGGCAGGAATTATCAGCCTGTCTAAGAACAAGAAAACAAGTTTTCAGGGACTACTGCTTCACTAGTCTTGCATATCAGAAGCTATCAATGCTGCAAGGGATCTGGCACCTCTTGTTCTTGACCCCATGACAGCAGTGCCCAAGGTCCACACAGAACTTTGCACATTGCATCAGGCTGGCGAGTATCCAGGGCATCCCTTCCCAAGCTGCCTGCAAACACAATCAATATCAAGCTCAAAGGGCACTGTGAAGGATCAGAAAACATGAATTCCCAACCCAGACTGCTCTTTATCTACTGCATCACTGTCACCTCGCTGTAACTGGCATATTCACCATCCCCTCCGAGAACAGCAGGGAAGGTGTTCCTACACCAGCAGCACATCATGCTAATGATGACAGCTGAGCACATACAAGATCTGACCGCTGTGCATGCCACACGTTTCATAACGTTGTCCCAACTGCCTGAAGGCCTTTCCATCACCAGCTGCACCTGATTCTGCTGTCAGGTGTTCTTCCTCTCCCCTGCTTGCCACCTTAACCTACAATCACTGCAAGACCAAGCTTGCCACTGGAAGCAATCAAAGCACAAATCCCTTGCAAAAATAATGACCCAGACATGGCACTTTCTGGAAAGCCAAGCCCTTGCAGTGTGCTGTATTTCTAGTCTTTGGGACTACAAATCCATCTGCATCCATTGTAACCTCTGGTCTTTCCTCTCTGACTTCCAAACCTGCATTTGGTTATCTTGGCACAAGCTGCTTAGGAAGAAGACCTTGCAGCCCTGGGAACCCTTATGTTCCGGGTAAGTTCTTTCACTGCCTGAGTAAGAAAGCAGAGCTTCCATATAAGTGACATTTATTTTCCCCAAAAGAGTTGCTTTCGGCAGCCAATTGCATAGAAGATTGTAAAGTAGCAATGGATTGATTTGGCTCCTATAGAGGTGACTAATGGGAACATGATCCAGCAGCTAAGGCAGAGGAATAGATGGCAGTGCCCCCCACAGCTGCTTTTGTAGAACGGCACTTCCCTCACCTGTCATGAGGGAATCCTTCACCGCACTCCTTGTCTGTACATCTCCTGGGGGTACAATACTTGTTTGCCACGTGCTCCAAGAACCCTGAATGGAAAGCAGACGCTTGAAAGGAAAGCAGGACAGGCAGGATGTGGAAGGAGTCGGTGTTGCACTTCAGGTTCAGAAGCATCCAGTCAGCAGGCAAAACCCTTTTCACTGCTGTGGACATGAGCAATGGGTATTGACAAGGCAGATTACACAGAACATCACCCAGACCATGGGCTCCTAGTACCCTGTGGAGCATGATTGAACGCTGTCTTATTCCATGATAAAGTCAGGAATAAAGTATTGAGGCAGAAATCAGTGTGAGCTGGGGTCATTCCAGGGCAGCTCTCTTCATTACGAAGGACAACACGATCTGTGTATAGGGAACTTGACTAAATTTAAGAAAGGTCACGGGAAGAGACAGAGCATAAGATGAACTGGCTATTATTTATCAGACACCACAATGACAGGAGCAAGATCAAGCCATCGAGGGCATTAGCATCTCTGTGGTCAGCATGAAACTATGAGGATCTGCCATCTTACTGGTACATACCATGGGCGGTACGTGCCCATCTGAACATCCCTCCAGGCTAAGGAGAAACACAGCATCTGACACCCTTGCATCAGCCAAGTGAGGCCCTGCAGCCTGCCACTGCATTTCCTCCTTGAGGAGAGCTTGGTTATTACTGCTGCACACTTAACACGACCAGAAAGCCTATGAAGTTTGTAATTGGACTGTCATCACTCCTGTCACTCACATGGATGCCAGTACCACAAGGGCTGCCTAGATCTTTGCCAAGATGAGCCTGCAGCTAGCAGGCCACAATGGAAGCTGAATGTAAGATAGAAAATATGTAAATTCACCACAAAAATTGTACTTTGAGTGCTGAAAGCCAGCGGTTAGTGATGCTATTGGCACAGTCAGTTCAGTTTTTAGCTTACACCTCCTTGCATCCCTTGTTGCCTTTAAGCTACCATGTCAGAGAACCTGTGATCAACGCTTTCTATTAACACCGGGATCTCAGATCACCCCAGCCTGCAAACAGTGCCAACACCTCAGTTATTCACACCTTCCCTCACCTCTCAGCCAGACTGCAGCAGTGTGACAGGCCTTACCTTGAAGCCTGCAGCGTGCAGGGAGCTCAGCTGCAACACGCTCTGCATCCCTAACTGCCGGGTAATCCTGTTAGCACCACCACAGCAGGCTGGTGTCCTGCCTACAGAGATCTAGGAGAAATCAGACTCACAGCCTCAGCCTTCATTTCCCCACGGACCCCCTGGCAGATATAAGGCTGCCTTCCAGGATGCAGCGCTGGCCACGGTGCGCTCAATCATCACAGAGCACCACTGTGCCTCACACAAGGGCTCTCATCCACACACAGCAGCCAGCCCAGCCCCTCTGGTGAACACAAGTCATCATAAACATTACCTGCTGCAAACAGCTGGGCGTCTTTGGGCTACCTAATCTGACAGAAATACACCATGGCATGTGGATGTAATGGAAATTCCTCGGAACACAGAGCTGTGCTGCAGGCACTTAACCCTGGAAGGATAGTGAAGCACCCAGCCCCTGACACGTTCACTGTAATGTGCAACTCAAGGTGCCCAGATACGCACCCTGAGAGCACAGGAAGCTCTGGCCACTGACAGCACTAACAGCAGAGAGCTGGCATGCTCTTGGTCAGCCTGTTCATCCGTTTTACATCAGCATGGCAGCTGCTCGGTGCAGGACAAATGTGAGACAGGTGAAAAGGAGAAGTGGGCTCTCCAGTTCTGGCAATGACTGTCGTGGCATAAAGTAACAGAAAGAGATTCTGTTTGTGCTTCTGCTGAGATCATACAATTCCCCTATGGCTTAGTTTCCTCATCTGTAAAGACAAGGATAACTCTGCTCACCTATCAATCTGGTATTTGCATCAGCTGAGAAGAATAAAGGTCTGGTCCCACGAGGTTCTGATTCACTCTGCTGAAGGTGTCACATTCTTTTAAGACAAGTTAATGGGAGTTCTGGTAAAGAGCAATCTCCTTTGTTTGGATGTGCTGGAAGACATGACTTACAAAGAAAGGCAGTCTCAATGCCTCATCTTGCAGATTCCCAAACATCACTGTGGGCCTTTTCCTTGCCTGCCTTGGCCAATTTCCACCATGAGCTGGACTGCCTTATTAGCTTCTCGTCAAGGCATCTCCACACGCTCCAAGCTCATCCCAGACTACATAAGCACCAGTCGGTGAAGGCAGAGAGCCATTAGTACTGCAGCACTGATATTGCTGCTGTCTGCGCCAGAATTAATGCACCTCAGACACAGCACAATGAAAATATTGACTTTCTAGCTAATCAAACCAGATTCCATGAAAGCTACAACTTCAAACCTCAAAAAAATATCCATCAAGGATTCATAAATATTTGAAAGTGCCAGACTGATTGCATCTGGATTACTGCAGCGGGAGGGGCTGAGGTCAGGCTGAGAAGGAGATGGACTAGACAGCTTCTCAGACCTTGATGTCATGCATCTCCCT